AGCTAACCCTTGGCCATTCTTATAACATCACAGTAAGTCACCTGCCACACACACCAGAGTTCAACCGAACTGCTAGTCTCACCTAGAGTAGAACTATTGATTCATTTACTTGAAAGTATATTGCCACCTATGCAAATTTCCATTAATTCTCTTTCACTGCTATAGTTGAAATTAAGAATTGGTTGGCAGTGCAATTGTAAGTCAATGACGTGCCAGCTGTAGTGGGTTTGGATTAGGCAGGACTTTCTTCATTTGGTTCAGTACAGAGCTCTTATTTATTTATTTCATATCAAAAGCATTGCATAAATTAGTAAAAAACTGATAAAAATAGAAGGAGCACGAGTGGCAAATTTCTTTTGACCAAAAATAGGCAACAGCAATCACATTATCTGTAGACTCAAACAACTATTCCTCTGTACATGAGGCAGGACATTGTGGGCAAGCATACTGATACCGAGTTGTCTGTTCTGCTCCACAGTCACACAAGGTGAAGAGTTCTTTTAGGTAGTGCCATTTTGCCACGTTGTCTTTTGATCTGCCCAACCCACTTCTGAGTCTGTTCTGGGACTTCCAAGTTGACCATTCTAGGTTTGCCCCTGGAGGCAGACCCTTGTGGGGGGGGGGGGGGCATCCAATTGGGATTTTCTGGTTTAGCTACCCAGAGGGATACTCTTGCTGTTGCTGGGGGAAAGTTAAGAGGAGTGGTGGTTCTTATGAAGCCTTTCCTTGATTTGAGTCTACTGTTAGGAGGCTGATAGCCATGCAGAGGATGGCTTTCACAGTGTTCAACTTTATTTCTCTCACAGTTGGCAGCAACTTCCCGTCACACATCCCAGGGGGAGGGGGGCAATGCCTGCTAGCTTGTAGAGTTTATCAACAGGTGTTGATTTAAGACACCCTGTGATTATTCTACATGTTTTGTTCAGTGCTATATTCACCTTCTTTTCATGGGCAGACTTGTGCCAAACAGGGCAGGCATACTCGGCAGTTGAATAAGACAAGGCCAGGGCTGATGTTCTTATTAATTTTGGGTCTGCACCCCATGTGTTGTCAGTAAGTTTCTGCATGATGTTATTGCGTGCAGCTACTTAGAGCTCTGCTAATAGAAGGCTCTATCACAGAATTCTTTTGGTGACTAAAGTCTCCTAGAAAACCATCCTCAAAAGAGGCAGAAAAAAACAAGATGAAAGCAGAGGCAAGCTATGCCAGATCCATATTTCCAGTGAGACATCAACAGCATTGGCACAAAACTAGGCCAAGGTGAGGATAGTCTTAAATAATTTCTAATTTCTAGCTGTAGGTTGAGAAGGCTTTAGAGTCAACACAGCTTTAGCTGGCTTAATGTTGACTCAGCAGAGCCTTAACTGCCTTGGCTAATTAAGGTTATGTCCTATTAGGCCATAGTCCAAGAGTGGGAATCACATAGCCTCCCAGAGATTATTAGACCAGAGCTCCCAGCATTCCTCACCATGCTGGCTAGGGCTGCTAGAAGTTGCAATCCAATGATAACACAGCCCAATAAAAATATATTGGTGTCCTGGTTTTTAGGCCTGTTCCTGGGGTTATTTGAGACACTGATTCAGAAAATTGCATTGGGTAAATCATATCAGCTCTAGTTTCTTAGACATTGTTGTTATGATGACTAGTAGAATAGAATATTTTTATTGTCATTTTACATTGCACAATGAAATTAAATGTTTTCCCCAGCACACACCAGAAAACAACACACCAAATCCTCCACACTCCCACCACCACCACACAGATCCCAAAGCACATCAGTGTGAAGCCATGGCGTTCAATATAGTTACAGCTCTAGGATAAAAGTTGTCTTTCAGTCTGTTTGTCCTTGCCTTTGTCACTCTGTACCATCTGACAGATGGTTTTTTTTTTTAAGAATATGCTGGGTGATATGGATCCCCAAGAAAGCTCTGAGCTTTCTTATGGCTGCGGAACCTATAAAATTTTCCAAAGAGGGGAGAGAACAACCAATGATTCTCAGTGCAGAAGTGGTGACCCTTTGGAGTGCCTTCCTACCTGCCACTGTGCAGTTACCAAATCACACACAGATGCAGTAGGTTAGGACACTCTCTGTAGCACAGCAGTAGACAGTCAACCTCAGTTTTTCATTCAGTTGTTGGTTCCTTAGAAGTCTTAGGTAGTACAGTCTCTGCCAGCTTTGATTTTGGATTTAATATATCCTAGAAGATTTCTATGTTTCTGTTCATGTACTCCTGTTCAAATTTTACTAGTTATACCTTCTGGATTTATGCTGTATCTGTAATTTCTGGCTGTTCCTGGACTTCGTTACCTCTGGAACTTTATGAGACATTTGGATTATTGTCTGGTTATCACCTGTTGCTAAACTTTTTTGGATTATATATCTTTCTTTTTTCCTGATTTTTATATGTTTTTAATATATATATATTATAATAAACCGTTTGCTTATACTCCTGGAGTCTTGTGTGGTGCAGTGGTCATAGGTGTTTCTAGGCCTGGAGTGCAACAGCCGGGCCCTCTTAACCAATATTGCCATAAGGGTGCCCCAGATCAGATCCTCCTTAACAGTGACACCCAGGAACTTAAAACTGGCCACCCACTCCACTTAGTCCCCATTTGTGATTAAGTGCTAGATTTCTGGTCTATTCTTTCTGTAGTCCACTATCAGCTCTTTGGTTTTATTGATGTTAAGAACCGGATTATTGTCCCTGCACCACGAGAACAACCGATCCACCTCATCCCAATAGGCAGACTTAACCTTTTCAGAGATAAGCCCCACCACGATTATATAATCTGCAAATTTGGTAATGATATTGTTATGGTGGACGGGGGTATACAGCATATGTTTCGTATCTCAAGAACTAGATCTGATAGGTGAAATCTGGTGCTATTTTTGGAATCAACAGGTCAAATATCCCAAAAAACAGGGCCAACATTGCAGTCACCAAAATATGTGTGTAATATCTCCATCTCTGCCACACTCTGTTAAAAATAAGCTTCTGAAAGTTACAATGGAAACCTGTATGTGTCTTCCTAGAGGTGAAGCCCATTGAGCTGGTGGCAATTACTCCCAGGGGAAAATAAGATTTCAGCCCTGGCTGTGCAAAAAGCTTTGAATTAACAGAGAGAAGAGAGGCTGGAGGGTAAAGAGAACTGTGCTCCTGGATTGTTGTATGACAGAGGTAAACTCAGCTTACCTAGCTTGCATGACAAGCTCTATCTGCTAAAACATTTACTTTGTACAGGTTTAAAGATGCAGAAACACTGTCAGATTTTTCAATGGTCCACTAGAGATGAGGAAAGTTGTGAGATTTGAATAAGTCAAAATGGGTTTCTAGATGTCTTATTGAAGTTTTCTACAGAGCATTAATGATTTTTCCCCCTGGCAGTTAAGGGCAAGATAATGGTATTCCCATCACATCCTACTTATTGATACTGTTTTATTGCTAATTAGAAACCTTGACAAATTGCCAATACAAATTCTGTTCATTTTTATTATTTCACCCATATTTGCAGCAAAGAAATACAATTTATGCAGGATTTCTAATAACCCCCAAAGAGCTTCTCGGTGTTGTCTGCTCATGCTCATTCAGGATACTAGTATCATTAATTCCAGTTGTATAGTTGAGGGATTTAACACTCATCAATATATTTGCTGTATGTAGAGATCTGAACTCAAGTTTCCCAGTTTAAGGTCCATATGTTATAGTAGAGCACTGGCTCTCATCAGCATGCATTCAAGTTTTCATCTTTCTGTGTAGTTTCCAGATCCAAGACACTGGCAGCAAGATACTACAATCTGATCTTCCAATATGTAGTTTCCTTAAGATAATAGATTTCAACTTACTCATGGATAATACTACCCAACATAGTTAAAGCCAAGGATAAGATAGTGGGCAAAACATTATTGTTTACAACACAGAAGACTGTTGGTTTAATTTTTCTCATCTGCTTTGGTCAAAATATAAGAAAGAAAGCAGTAGATGTGTACAAATGGACCACAAGAGGGATAATTAGTGTCAATTCAGTGCACAAAATAATTAGCGTGACCATTTTGGGGCTGTACTAAACTGCCACCAATCAAACCTTTCACTGTTTGTGGTCATTTACCCCCAAAATTTACAATCCCTTTCTAACTCTCTCCTTTTGCAAATGGAAGAATAATAAATCAATTATCTGATAAGGTTGATACCAGTACTAATTATTAAATACCCGTGCCACAATAAAATGGGGTGAATATCCACTGTACAATTAATGTAGTTTGATACCACTTTAAATGACATGGCTCTATGCATGAGGCACCATCTCTATTTGGCAAAGAAGGCTAAAGAACTCTCATTATTCCATAGCATTGAGCCATGGCAGTTAAAGTGGTCTCAAACTGCATTAATATTACAGTGGAGATGCATTCTTAAGGCCCTTCCACACAGACATATAACCCAGAACATCAAGGCAAAAAACCTACAATATCTGCTCTGAACCAGTTTATCAGAGTTCACACTACCATATATTCCAGTTCAAAGCAGATCATGTGGGATTTTATTCAACTGTGTGAAAGGGGCCTTAGTTAATTCTAACACTCTACACCAGGGTGTACAACCTCCAGCTGTTTCAGTCTCCAAGTCCAAAACGCCTGGAGGGTCACAGGTTCTGCAGCACTGCTCTACACTATTCTTTGTGGTGCACAGACACAAAACAGGAAAATGAGACTTTTGGTGGGAATTTCCCAACTATTTGAAGACACTACAACAAAGCTGGAAAATGTAATGACTACTAAAGTGTTGTGGAAAAGCAATAGGATAGACTTATGCTTGTATTCTGTTCATGGGCTTTCCATTTGTCCCCAAATAGCAGAGTTTGGGGTGAATTAAGTTTTTGGTCTAATCAAGAACAATTTATGTTATGTTCTGGGGAGGACAAGGTGAAAATTATGGTGATGGGAGGACAAAACAAGACCAGAATTGTGTATTTCTTTTGGGAAAAAAACCCCATACTACAAGTAATGTGGCATACATATGCGTTCTGTTTATTTTCTTTGCTGTCTGCATCAATGCTCCTTAATGGCACTCAGTTTTGATTGTTGTTGCTGAAGCTTTTTATTCCGATAAAACTTCCTACCATTCGTAGACAGAATACCAAGAATACTAAGCCAGTCACGCAGGTAGTTCAATCTGTCTATGGATTCTAATGATTTTATTGATTATGACACAAGCTTTTGGAAGCTTTCTCTTCTAGATGCATAAAACTGACAGAGAAGTGCATTTCCAAGTTTGATTGAAGAAGACAGGAGTGTAAATCAGGAGTATAAACCAATTTCAGTGCTCTTCGTTACAGGAAGAGCACTGACACAGACAAACAAAAAGCCAATGATCAGAGAATTTCCCTCAACCTTCAGTGTCTACATAGGATATTGTTAGCAACCAAAAGTTGGTTCCTAGACCCAGCTCCTATTGTTCCAGGTTCTCCTTTCAGATTTTGGTATAAATCCTTTCTATTCAAAAGCAATCAGTAATAGTTGAAAAGGCAAGCAAAAGAAAGAACAGGAAATGGTATGGTTACCTTATAGAGAAGAGGTTTTTTTTGTCATGTCAGGAGAGACTTGAGAATCTGCAAGTCACTTCTGGTGTGAGAGAATTGGCCGTCTGCAAGGACATTGCCCAGGGGATGCCTGGATGATTTGATGTTTTTATCATCCTTGTGGGAGGCTTCTCTCATGTCTCCGCATGAGGAGCTGGAGTTGGTAGAGGGAGCTCATCTGCCTCTCCCCGGATTCGAACCTGCGGTCTTCAGTCCTGCCGGCACAGGGGTTTAACCCACTGCACCACTGGGGGCTCCACAGAGAAGAGGGTGAAATGCTAACAGAGGACAGAGAAAAGACAGAGCTACTCATGACCTTCTTTGTTTCAGTCTTCTCCAAAAAAGAAAAACATTGCTTAACCTTCCTCTTATACTCCCTTGGCCTGCTGGATGCCTTTCTTGGATTTGCTCTGGCAGCACTGTATTTCACCTCATCACCACACCTGAAAGCATTGTTTCTGTCACGCAAAAGTCGCTGGACTTCCTTGGTCGTTCAAGGTTTCTGGTTAGGATAAATCTGGATGCGTTTGTCCACAGTGACATCACCTGTGCAGCATTTGATGTAGCTTAGAACTGTTAGAGTGTGTTCTTCCAGGTCTGGAGGACAAAAAAAGTATCAGTTTGTCCTCTCAAAGCAATACTGAAGTTGTTGGGAAACATCTTTAGACCAGGATTTGTCTTTGTTTCAGGTAGGGTCTGTTTCCTGAGATGAATAATCTTTGATTCCTGGAAAACAGAAGAAATCCTAGCAAACTAGATGAAAGTAAATATTGATTAAATTACCTGACTTCTGGTCCCAGCATACCATGGTGGTGTGCTGGAAGACGTAGAGATTACTATATTCTAGTGCAACTCTATGGTAAAAGCATAATGGTAAACATGATTTCCATATTTTGAAAGTACCATGCAAACTTCTAGAAACAGAAGAACACACAGGAGAGAAGATTAGGGTGAACTATTGCCAGGAGTTAACATTTCTGGAAGAAACATTAACAACCTTAGATATGCAGATGATATTACTTTGATGGCTGAAAGCAAGGAGGAGCTGAGGAGCCTGATAACCAAGGTGCCCTGTGAGAAGCAGCATAAACAGCTGGGTATGTTTAATCTTGTGAAGAGAAGATTAAGAGGTGATATGATAGCCATGTTTCAAACTTGAAAGTTTGCCACATTCGGAGGGGGCAAGCTTGTTTTCTGCTGCTCCTGAGACTAGGACACAGAGAAACTGCAGGAAAAGAAATTCCACTTAGATAGTAGGGAGAACTTCCTGATGGTAAGAGCTATTCCACAGATGCACATACTGCTTCAGACACTACAAGTGTGTGTTGGAGTCTTCTTCTCTGAGATGTTTGAACAGAGATTGAATGGGCATCTGTTGACAGTGGTATGTGTTTGTGTATTTCTGCATGGGAGAATGGAGTTGGCCTGGATGGCCCTTGTATTCTCACCCAACTCTATTGTTCTATGAAATTGGTTTTAGAAAGGGGTAAAGTGGAGAAATGCAGACAAAAATGATAAACCTCTTACACCTTTACCAGTAATGCCTGCACAAAATTTTTGGCAGTTATCTGTTCTATGTGGCTATGACAGGTACAAGACTACTACCCCCATAATCTCTTTTTCACCAAGCTATCTTATTATAAGGGCAAAGTGGATATGATATGTACATGTTTCTTTCTGCATGACTGTAGGCTTACCAGACGAGGATAGCACTTCATGCATCTGATGGATTGGCCTCAAGTCTTATTTCAGATCTGTTAAACTTTGAGGTCCTCTTTTGAGCTTGCTTCATCAGACCAAGATGGCTACTCTCTTGGGTCTCCACAGATCAACTGCTAGTCAGCTCCTTGTGACAGCAACCATTCATTGCATTTACTGCAGTTTCTCTTCTCTCCCCTCCCCGTTTCTCTCTCGGTTTCCTTTCAATTTCTATCTAAATATTTGAACCCATCAAGCATCGGGTTTGATCTGTGAGGCAAACAAGCAAGTTGCATTTTCAAAAAGAACAATAATTGCAAGTCAAATGCGTATGTTCAATACTCTATTGACAGATTTGCCTTGGCAACCCAGAGCAGGGATTCTTTGTGTGCCTCTTACTTTGTGGCATCCCATTGATTTTCATTTTCAAACCTCTTTTCTTCTTCTTCTTCTTAAAAAAAATCTATCTACTCATCTTTTCTTTCTTTCTTCTTCTGCATGGTGTTTGACCCTCAGGAAAGTGGATGATCACTTATATTTCAAATGCGTTTACGCTTTCATGAAGCATAGGCTAGCTAGACAAAGGCTGAGGGGAGCATTAGCAGAACAAAACGAAGGAGGAGCTCTCTAGCTGTTCTGGGACTGAGGGATGTAAAGATTCACCTAGGTGGGAATTCACTTTTCCTTAGCAATATAGATTTGGCTTCTCAGAACAGCTTGAGACTCTTACAAACTATAAAACCATTTTAGCCCCATGACTTCTTCAAGCACAAGTGAGTCAGGTAAGTGTTTGGAAGTGCTGTCTATGACGGTTAGAAATTCTTTTAAAAGAATTCTGTTTCTTCCTTTATTGAACCGTGTCTTCATCCATCAAAAATGTATCTTGTTGTTTTAACTGGAAAATTTCTGTACCAATAATTGTATAATTAATATAATTTACTTTTACCCCAGTCCCCTTCTGGATAAACAAAGCTGATGCATATTATCTTTATAAGCTTGGGTCCCACTCGCAGAGAAAGGTGGCATATGAATGAATGACTGAATGAAATGTATTGTTGGTGCTGTGACATGCTTCTTTCTCCCATGAGAGGGGAAAAGTCAAATTTGTTTTCTGGTTCTCAGTTGAACTAGATTGTAGATGGTTAAAAGTAATTTTGGTCTAGTTTTCTCCAATTACATGGATTTGAAATAGTAATAAAGAACCAGCTGTATATGGAGGAAAGAAGGTACACCGGCATTATTTTTCTATGGTCAGCCATGCTCCACATAAACAGATTTTCTTGTAGGAGGGTCAGGCATGGGTAGAAGCTGAGAAGTTGGCACAGTTGTAACCATCTTAGATTCCTGGCATTTCCTCATACGGTCAGTCCTCCACTGTCAGTGAGGTTAGGGACAAAGGACCCCTGTGAAAGGGAAAACCACAAATGACAAAACTGCTATTTTTATTTCAGAGACATTCCTGTAAGCATTTATAAGTGTTCAGCACAACTCTATGGTCAACTTCTACTGGAAGCTGAACATAGGATTTCTTCACACAGAGCTAGATCGCCCTGTTTGGGTACTTTTGGCCAGGGCTTACTGAGCACCATGTTCCTCCCAAAGTGGAGGTGAAGTGCCAGAAGGTGCTTCCTCCTCCACCTTGGGGAGGAAAGTGTTTTTCAGGTAGTTTAGATAGAGCTACCCATACTTTCCTCCCCCTTTCCCCATCAGATGAAGGAATCTGATGGAGACAGGGTGCCAGCATGCCCTGTCCCGCCCCACCATGTGATGGGGGAAGGAGGGAGGACGTGTGGCAAAATGGGCCTGCCCCCATGAACCATGTGAAGACAACCATAGAAATGCACTGGAAGACTTATAGATTCCTCAGACAGGTGTTATTTTCAGAAATCTCTAGGTCCTCTAGCATGACTAGGGGAAGCTAACCACAGAGTCACACTGGAGGACCTACAGATTTCCAGAGACAACATATTTAATCAACACTTAATAATCAAAACCATAAAAGTCAAACCTACAAATGTAGAGGGAAACTCTATAAACCTGCATAAGGCAGGACCTAGAATGGCACCAAAGTAAATACTGAGGTTCTTTCACTGAGTTTTTATGCTTAGATATGCATAAAAGAACAAGTGGTGCTTGTTTCATGTAGAGATCCAAGAACTGGAACTTATGCTTGGATAATTGTTTAAAAGAAACTTGATACATAGTTATGTCAGAAGAAAAGAAAGTCAGGATTTTAAAATCTTCATCAGATGGGAAAGGTCACTTGCTTAATAAGCTACAGTGGCTGAAATCTGCTCAGTCCGATGGCTTCAGATGCAGCAGTCATGCTCTCTGGTTAACCAGAAAAGAGAGCTCTCACTTTCCAGGCTAGGAAAGAATATTATCTTGCATTACAGTTCAGTTGCAGAGATATTTCCTTAGGTTTTGTGAAGTAAGGGGGAAAGGAATTGCTAGATGAACCCTGATCAGGGGTCATACCTGAGCCAAATGTGCTTCTGGGATGTCCTTCCCCCTTTTATTAACACTCATACCTTTTCATGAGTGCTAACATTTAGTTAGCCAAACTGTTAATGAATCCATGGCAGAGCTGAGGCAGGAAGAGACTGAGCTTTGTTGGAGATCCACTTTCTAAGAAGATGCCAAAAACGAAGGATATCGGATCTGGCACAAAGAGAAATGGGCCCTCGGGAAAGTTTTCCAGCTATTGCACTGATGATGTTTTTTCATCATAGGCTTGGAGAGATAAACAATGGTGTCTTACAGACTTCCTCTACTCCTGGATGGACAAATGTGGCTCTCCAGATGGTGATGGGCTTTTAACTACAACTCCCATCATACTTAGTCAGCATAGCCAATAGGGAAGAATCATAGGAGTTACAGACCAAAAATAGCCAGAGGACCAGACTTGCCTCCTTCAGAAATTATCTTCTCATGTCAGTGATGTGAGAATGGAACAGAACAGCTCATCCCCATGAAGCATGATAGCAAAACCAGATTACTTATGCCATCAGAATGGAGAAGGAAATTACCGTGACTTCTTTGCTCCTCTTCCTCTCCAGTGAGCTCCAGTCAGTGCTTCCATTTACAAAGGTACTGATCAGGGGTGAGGCTATATCTGGGTACACACCTAGGAGAGAAGGAACAGATTGTGCTCTAATAAAACTGCTACATGTTCAAGTGCAGCTAGAATATGCCAAGGCATAGCCCCCTGACCAAAGCACTGGCTGGGAGAATGGAGCTGTGCCTGAAAGCCTCCTGGGTACTCCTTTGTCCATTAGGAGCAACAATAGTGCAAATAGAGAAACAGATTGAACATCCCTTGTTTAAAATGCTTTGGAACAGAATTCTTTTGCATTTTGGAATACCTTTATTTGCCTATACATGCATAATAAGATATCTTGGATGTGGGACTCAAGTCTAAATACAAAATTCATTGATGTATTCTATATACATACATTGAAGGTAATTTTATATACAATATTTGTAAGAAATGCATGCATGAAACAAGGTTGTATAGATTGAACTATCAGAAAGCAAAAGTATCTCAGCCACCCATGTGGGCAATTTTGGAGTTTTAAGAATTCCAGACAAGGGATGCTGCATTTGTACACTATGCCTCCCTATGCAATATAATTCAAAATATATACACAAAATAGTAAGGGTAAATGGCCTTGGCCACTAAGGGTCAGTGGCCTTGGCCACTAAGGATCTGGTGTAAAGGGTTTATAGTAACAAAATGAATGCATTTCTGTTTTTGGATGACGAATGGTCTTGATGAAGATGGCTTTCCATCTCTACACCTATGAATCAAGTTTAATGCAAGGAACAGATGTGCTGGGATTCATAATTGTTGTGACATTTGGAGAAGGGACAGAAAGAGATCTACTGCAAATTTAAGACAGAATGAAAATAGCCGTGAACCTTGCTCATACCCCTGACTGCTTGTTTCAAATTCAACATTGACAGACATGTAGAAACATTTTAAATAAATATTTTAATTTGGAAAGTCCAGTCATACCAAGTGTATGTAACATCACGTAACAAATCATTTCTGATCTTCACAGCAGAGACTCAGTTTGAAGAGAGGATCTGCATTTTTCCTTCCTGTGCAAGAGAAAAAATGGTACCTAGAGTCCTCTATGGTAACAGAGAGAGATGCATCAGTACAGGGAAGAAAAGCACTGCTGTCAGACATTTATATAGAATTTATGAGTGTGATTCCATAAGGTTTATCTCCGTAACACCCTTGAGAGGCAGGGTATTATCATTCCATTATAGGGGCAGTGAACTATGATTATAAAGAACATTTCTAATGACTTCTCATTTCCCTCCTCTACGCAGTAACTAAAGACAGTGAATTTATCCACCACTCCCCACCACCCTCACCCCACCAATACCTGGCTATCTTGTGTGTGTTTAGGATCACACTCAAATATTATCCACTCAGATATGCTGTGATCTGTTTTGTGGTAATTCAAAGTAAAAATATTATTTTCTGGGAAGAGCTATATATCCAGTGGTGTTATCTTGAAGACAGAAATCTAGAGGATTCCTGAGCCACCAAACACACATACATCAGGGGATACTATTAGTACAATATGGCCCCTGTATCCACGAGAGATATGTTCCAAGAGCATACATACATGGATGCCTGAAACCATGAATAATAGTACATCCTGCATTTTGTCTACACTTGGAAGCCTACCAAAGAATCCTCCTTGTTGGATTGTCACTTTGTTGTGAGGGGGCTTGTGTGTTCCAGTGAACCTGTAAGTGAAGCTGTTGGAGTTCAGTGTTCCCAGGGGGGTCTCCCATGGTTGTGGAGTCATAGGGAAGGAGCCAGACAAAGAACAATCTGAAGGCCTCAGTGGGAGAGCAGGTGGATGATAACACGGTAGATGTTAAAACAGCTGTGAAGGAGGATAAAGGCTGCAACTGATGAGAAGCCACCATTTGTCATGTTAATCACACAATTGAATCAAACTCTCTGTCTGTTAAAACTGTGTGTTGGTCTCTGTGCAGCAGTCTCCATACATAAAACATATCCATGCAGAGGCATCTTCCAAGAAACCCCAAACCACCAAAAGTCCCATGGCTATGGCAAGTGGCAATGGGGGCAAGACTGTGAAAACTGGAAGCCCCTAGCCACAGATGGGCACATGGGTGGTAGATATGGATTCAGTTGTTCTAACTCAAGGTCTGAGGCAGTTGAGCAATTTGGCAGCTGTATATATGTCTGAGTAATCCTATTTAGAATCCCCTCTGCTCACCTCATATGGTGGAGGGGGCTAGAAGGATGCCCTAAACATAGTCTGCCTCTCCTACTTATCCTGACTGGGCTGCCACATCCAGAGGGGTCACCACCTTGAAGTTCTAAAAGATAAATGAATTTTGGAACATGGAACATATGGACACTGTTGGAAAACACAGACAATGAATGCCCTGAACATAGGACTGCTGTTATTGAAAAAGAGCTGAGGCTCTTTAACACAGATATAGCGGTGCTCCAAGAGACTCAGGGAATAGAAGGACAGCTGAAGGAAGAAAAATTAGGCTATACCTTCTTCTGGGAGGGACTGAACAAGAATTACAAAAAGACAAAATTGCCTTTATGTCAGAAACAACCTGGTGAAGCTTCTGTCTGAAGCACTCACTGGCGTTAACGAACGACTCTCATCCCTCCGAATTAATCTTGCCAAAAACCAAGATCTTGCCAAAAACCTATGCACTAACACTAGGATGCTGGTGAAGACATCAAGGAAAAATTCTACTGTCAGCTGGAAACCATCCTATATGAGATACCGAAGGAGGACAAAATCATCCTCCTGGATGATTTTAACCCAAGAGTTGGGCAACATTTCAACCTGTGGGCTAGGAACTATAGGGAAAGACAGGGTTGGAAATAGCAACTAGATTGGCATCCTCACCAAATGTGTGGAACACAACCTTGTCATCACCAACACACTTTTCTGCCAGAAAAATAAGTTTAAGACATCATGGAGGCACCCCCAGTCAAAGCATTGGTACCTCTTAGACTATATACTTATACACGCCAGAGACTGCCCTGGTGTACTTCTCACAAGACCCATGACACATGCGGATGACTGTTGGACAGATTAATTTGATCCATGATGGCTATCAAGATCATTCCTAAATGTAAACACCAAGGAAGAAAGATAAGACATAAAATAAACATCCAAGTCCTTCAAGAGCCCTCTAGACAAGCTCTCCTCCAAACAACGCTTAAGGATAATTTACCTACAGAGCACCCTGAAATGTGGAGGAACTTTGGAATAAACTGAAGACTTCCATCATTACAGCCTGTGGGAAAAAACATTGCATATCAAACCAAGAAATATCAAGCCTGGTTTGTTGAGAATAATAGTGAGATCCAACATATAATCAACAAGAAAAGGAAAGCCTTTCAATGACTCCATTATCATCATTCTTTTCAAAAAGGGAGAAAGAACAAACTATGGAAACTATTGAGGTATCTCCCTTTTAACCTCTGCAGGGAAAATCTTTGCAAGAACCCTCTCAAACTGCCTTCTACCTATTTCAGAAGACATCCTCCCTCAATCCCAGAATGAAATTCGCCCTTCCAGAGGAACAGTGGATATGATCTTCACCACACGACAGCTCCAAGAAAAATGCAGAGAACAAAATCAACCTCTGTACATGGCATTCATCGACCGAGAGGGGCCCATAAACACTTTTAGGGGGGATATTTTTGGAAGCATGGGTAAGTAAAACCATGCAGATTGAAATTGTAGAATAAGAGGTTGTACTGTATTCTGATATGAGAGGGCCAAAGGAAGGCTGGTTCCTGGAGGCTGCTTATTACATGTGTTTTGCCACTTAAGAAGATGCCGTTTATTGACAGTTTTGTATAATTATATTTTTTTTCTCCTTGAGGAATAAGTCTACATTTGTGTCTGTCTACTAGCAACAAAGGAAGATGTGATACCAATAGGAGCAAGAAGGAGCTTGTGGGCTGCTCCAGAGACCTGTGGTGCAAGTGGATCTTTGGCACGTATTTTACAGCTTCACTCCCCACCCCCTTCTAGCCATGATCTAGTTTTTGTGGAAGGCTTTGCTATGAAGCTTTTCTAATATATGCTACAACAATCCTAGAAAGTCACACATCTTTCAGAAGTGAATGCATTTGTATTCATGTTAACTCAAAATCAAGTCTCACTGTGTTAAAAAACGACTTAGTAATGCTGTATAAGACAACACATTTAATGAAGTCTGAAACACTTCTATAGGAAAGGCCTCTAGGTTTTAGGATAAAAGCAATTTATTCATTTCAAAATCAAACACATGGGAGTATGAGCTCTTTATTCAAGATTCCCACCAGCCATATCCTCTCCCATTTTGAAAATATTCCATGCTAACCCTTTCCCTCTTGTAGAACATTCCAGGCAGCCCTCTCTGATCTGTTTTCCAAAATCTTCAATTGCAGGTAAAAGGTAAATGTTGGTAAAGGCTTTCCCCTGGCATTAAGTCCACTCGTGTCCAACTCTGGGAGTTGGTGCTCATCTCCATTTTTAAGCCAAAGAGCCAGTGTTGTCCGTAGACACCTCCAAGGTCATGTGGCCAGCATGACTGCATGGAGCATCGTTACTTTCCCACCTGATCTACTCACATTTGCATGTTTTCGAACTGCTAGGTTGGCAAAAGCTGGGGCTGACAGTGGAAGCTCACACTGCTCCCCGGATTCAAACCTGTGACCTTTCGGTCAACAAGTTTAGCAGCCCAATGGTTTAACCCTCTGTGCCACCGGGGGCTCCAATTGCAGTCATGTTTTCCCCCCCCCTCTTCCAGAATTTTGAATTCCATACCCCACTTTAAACAAACACTCAACACCCAAACTTTTTTAGGCTACTTAGACTCATTCCCTTGCTTTTTTCATAAAAAAAATATCAGGCAGAGGTGTATGGTACTTTTGCTAGTCTTACCATTTTTCCAAGCCTGCTGATGACTTTCCTCCAACATATGGATGGTGTTGTTTGGCGATTTGAGAATGAGTTCACTATCAGTAAACCTGATTTAACAGAAAAGTCAAAGAGCCACACTGGCTAATCATGAGTACTATTTATGTAAGACCTCAAGAGCTTGTGGGAAAATTCAATATGTGTTGAACATAACTCTGAAAAGACCATTATTTCTACAAACCTTGATTATCTAAACATAGATAAATAAATCTATAAATCCTGAATATCTCCACATTTGCACTGTGCTCTCACTTTATTCTTCAAGAAAAGCAATTTTCCATTTTTCTAACCTTGCCTGCACTTCTAAAATTGTTTATTTCCTTCTATCTTATCCTGACCTCAGAATCTGTCTAAAAGGTAATGGCTTTGCTAGAACCATCTACAATGCAATAGAATGCTAGACAAGCAAATCTCTTTTCCTTACTACATCCTAAGAAAAAATAAAATGACGAGGAAAAAATGGACAGAGAACTTGAAAGAATCATAATTCTGGATTTTGTAATTATCTTCTGGTAGAGGATAGAGTGGGATGTGAAGAATCCAAGTGACTAAACTGTATTAATGAAATGAAACTTTATTTATAGCCCGCCCGAAGGGACTCAGAGCAGCTTACAGCAAAATACACAGTGACAAACATTCAATGCCAACAAAAATAAACAAATCAAAAACAACTCATTAAATTATAAAACAACTTAAATAAACATGACATAACACTATAGATAATTGCAAACATATTAAGTCATTAAAATCCCATTAAAAATCTCTAAAATTGTACTAAAAATTGTTGGAGGGGAGATGGTAAATAGCAGCTTAACATGTGTTAGCAGCTAGTCGGGGGTGCATATGGATGTGCTTAACCTCTTCTCTATAAGCTAAATTGCATAGATGTGTTTTAATAGCTTTTTAAAGGAGGAGAGAGGAGGCCATTTTTAATTCTGTAGAGAGGGAGTTCCAGAGGTGGGGAGTTATCACGGAAAAGGCCCTGTTTCTTGTTCCCACCAGATGAGATGGAGGTGGGACTGAGAGCAGGGCCTCCTCAGCTGGCTGCAACACTTGTGTTGGTTTGTATACAGAGATGCGATCTTTTAAATAGTCTGGGCCTGAACCATTTAGGGCTTTATAGGTAATGATGAGCACTTTGTATTTAGGCTGGAAGCAGATTGGCAGCCATTGGAGCTGTCATAACGTAGGCACTGTCCACTCCCTGTACAGTGCTCCAGTTAGTAATTTGGTTACCGATCTCTGAACCAGTTTCAGCTTCTGAACTGTCTTCAAAAAAAGCCTCAGGTAGAGAGTGCTGCAATAGTCCAAACGGGGTGTGACCAAGGCACGGACTATCATAGCCAATTCTGGCATCTCAATGTATGGGTGCAGCTGGCGCACAAGTTTTAATTGTGTGAAGGTGCTCCTGGGCACCACTGACACCTGGGGCTCCAGGGTCAGCAATGAGTCCAGGATCATCCCCGGACTGCAAATCTTCAGGGGGAGTGCAACCCTGTCCAACACAGCTGTAACCACACACCCTGGTCCACCTTCCAACTGACCAAGACTACCTCTTTTTTGTCTGTATTTACTTTCAACCTATTAGCCATCATCCATCCCATCACTGATGACGGCACTGGTTTAGAGGCAGGACAGCATCCTTGGCATTAGGTGGAAAGGAGTAGGGTAACGTCCATATAAATTTGACACCGAACATAGATTACAATACAGCATATACTATAAGATGGCAAGTAGCATGAGGCTGTCTTGAATCACGGCTACCAGCACTCAGGAGAAAGAAACTTAAGGTCCTGTGCTGCCATTATGGTATTTTTAATTTCTGGTTTTGCAGATGGTGCTCCGCCTGCATTTTGAAGGAGCTTGGTGAGGATCCCTGTAGGAGCATATCTCTCATGAGCCTGAGCAGAGAGCTCGCTTTAGGACCAAATCCTATCCATCATCCAGGCCCTCTTATGGCCCTAAACCCAGAGCTGGCGCCTTAGTCTGAGCAGCTAAAGAGAACCCTGTCTGCTTAACTAAGTGCCTCCATATCCCCTAAAGATCACTTTATGATACATTTATAGTAGTATATCTCCTCCAATTCATGCTTTGCTAGAGAAGTGCCTATAGATCAGGACTGGGGAAGAAAACCCAAGGGGGCTTTCATGCTACACAGTTATAGCACTGTGATTCCATTTTAATATCTACATGGCAATATACCATGAAATCCTGGGATTTGTACTTTCAGGAGGAGGATTCAAGAATCCCCTGCCAGACAGCAATGGTGCCTCCTGAAACTACAATTCCCAGAAATCTTCTGGATATGACCATGCAGCACTTAAAGTAAAATTGTAAAGCTACACCACGTAGTGCTGAAAGGCCCTAGTTGTCCCAAGAATATGAGCTACATACATTATACATGAGCCTGGTAGTTATAATTCGAAAGATCATGGCTCACCCAGTAAGATGATTGAGGAAACAAGGTTTCCAATTATGTTGCTGGGATCTCCATGTAAGACTTGAAAACAGGATTGGACTATTGACAAAGCAAGAAATGTCTCATCCTGTGTCAAGGTCAGCCCAGTTATTTTAGCAAATGATGCAAAATAATCTTACACCTCCGCAGACCATTCTCTGCTAGTAAAAATGAAGTAACAACAAGTTAAATAACTAATGATTGGCTGCCATTTTATGACACCCCTGATCTGCTCCTTGATGTAGTTAAGTCACTCTTCTTAATGATAGAACTGGTCCTGCTGGGAATGACTCTAGTAATTCACTCCAGAGAGCATATCCTGGCCAATGGAGAGAAAAAATACTAGGCTAGATGGATCAGTGATTTGCCCCAATTGTATTTTGTTGCCTTAATGACCATTCATGTTGTGAAAGATGGAGGATGCCATTGGAAGAATTTAATTGAAAAGTTTAATGGATATCAGTTCATATATCCATTGTCAACACACCCGATCAGCTCCGAAACCTTCATGATTACAGGTGGGACTAATGGTGAGGACACACAGAAAAACATTTCCAACCACTGTGATGAAAGGAGGACCACTCAATATGCTGTGGCAAGGATGCAAATGCTGTGAAAGAAAGCATCTATACCTTGTTGGGGCTGCTGGATATCATATAGACACTGCGCAGATTTACTGTTTACAGGGAAAGTGTTCTCAACATCCTTGTCTGTCCCCAGGAATATACTGGGGACAGAGCTAAGTGTGAACCTTTCAGATATTTACACCTTGTGGAAAGCCATCACGTTTTCTTAGCCACTTCTGTGTACCTGCTCTAGCATACAAAACATCTATTACACAGATTTCCAAGTTACTAACAGACTCTATACTCTGCTCTACTCTATACTCTAGTTCTTTGATACAAGCTCCCAGTATTAGGCAAGTTTACATCTAATTAAGTTGTTAGCATTTACAAAGGGATTTCATGAGTGTTTACCTCATTAATACCTATAATAACCTTATTTATTGTTCAGCACTGTTATCTCAATATTATGGATGAAATCAAGCTGTGTTTATGACTGCATTTGAAGCACATTGAACTAATCACTCAGGATGTCTGCTGTCGTTGTTTTTGTTGTGTGCCTGTATATTGACTCAGAATTATGGAAACTCTACCCTAGGACATTCTTGGTAAGATTTCTTCAGCTTCCCTTGAGGGTGAGAAGGTGTAACTTGCCCAGGCTAATCAAGGCCCCTTCTACAGTGCCATATAATCCAGACTATCAAAGCAGATAATCCACATTATCTGTTATGAACTGGATTATATGAGTCTACACTGCCATATAATTCAGTTCAAAGCAGGTAATCTGTATTTTGACACTGTAGAAGGGGCTCCAGTGAGTGTTCCTGGATTAGCAGATATTTGAATTCTGCTCTTCTG